ATGAATTCAGATCCGACGATTCGTGTGCTGATTTTTTAGACGAAAACGACCGTACTCGCTCTCGACGAAACAAAGGACGAAAGTTGTTCCGTTGTTTACAGTCGTTGTCAACATTGTCAAAAAATATTTTATATTTGCGGAAGCGTGCGCGATGCGTAAGCCATAAGTCGTACATTTTTATATCGCGTAGAGACGCAAATTCCGACAAGTGCGACGAGGAGAAAGCCTCGCACACGTTTTCGTGTCTCTCTCTGTCTATAATTAACATAAGTGTATAAATAAATATTCATATATGCGTATGCAAGATGCATCTTGACACAGATGCGGATTTGCGAAACGAAAGGAAGACGCCGAGTAATTAGAACTCTGCGGTACTGCTGAGCGCCGTTCCTTTATTTCCATCAACTTCCATTGTCATCTCGTAATTAAAATCATTCATGTTCATTAAATCAATTACTTTGTCACGATAAGTATCGGATATTTAATAGTACATTTCCGTTATTTTTATTTTGAGGCGCGCTTTACACGCGACGTAGATTTAGGTAGATTTGATATTTTCCAGAAAATGAGGAACCTCGTCGCGCGGTCGGTCCAACAAAGAAAATGCATTCGTACAAAAAAAAGCTTCTTCGTTTGCATTACTTTGCCGAGGAATTACGCAAGTGCGTAAAGAGGCTCGTGCGTGAAATCAGCGCCGCACGTAGGAAGACTTAGCGCGGCGCAGTTATGCAATTAAATCACCGACGGTGGGTGCTAAACATGCAAATTCGTTCGCAGGCGACATTACGAAGTCATAAAGGTCTGTCGTTAAAGGATCGGCGTCGCGATTACTTCGAGAAGTCATGCAAACTATAATCTATGCGATGAAAATAAGACGCTTTGTGTTTGTTACCACCTAAAAATACTAATTTTGCCATAAAATATATTTTGGCGGTGAAAATATAGCCAATATAATTTGACTTAAAATATAGCGAATATAATAATAAAGTATGTATTTAATTTCTGACTGTATCTCTCTAATCAATAAAACATCTCTCAATAATTTATGTCAACTGTTTGTATGACCATAAGAGTCATTGATGTATGTGTGGCATACAAATATAAGTGACATTCTTTTTGGCCTCTTAATTTGATTTTGCTACTTAGAGAGAAAGTGCTTGAATTTTGATTCTGTCAGTATATTGGATTAATGATTTCTATGAACGGTGAGTAATATCGAGTGGGTTGCAAATAACGTCGTACGCATGCACGACAGCTGTTGACAGTTAACGAATAATCTTATTACTTTTGATGCATCAGGATTTTAAATGCGTCAGCTGTAACTTCGAGCTCTCTCTCTCTCTCTCTCTCTCTCTCTCTCTCTCTTTTTTGTACGCGTGGGATATACCCCTGGCCTCAAGTACACGCAAAAGAATAAAGAATAATGCGGACCCAGGATGTTTCTCTAGTCACATGTAGACACTTTCACGGCGCCGCGCAAACACGTCGTTCCCGACCTGCAAGCTTCCATAAATCGAGAGTCTCGTGGGCGAGGCAGTATAATAAAGAAGAAATCCGTGAAGCCGATGACTCGCGAACCGGAGTCGTTATTGACCTGAAATATCTATTTCGGGCGGAATTGTCAATTAAGTCGGTTCGCGATTATTCAACGCAGCGACGTGACGTCACCCATGTAAAATTCTAATCTAACGTAAGATATAATTGGACGCTGTGATTTGCTCACTTTGCGCTTGAAGATATTTTTTTGTTTGACGTTAAATATCCTTAGACAATAAAGACTTCACAGTGTTAATTAAGTGTGCGCAGTTAAAAATAATCGCTATGAAAAGCCGGGATTGCGTAAATATCATTATGTAACGTAAAAATGTTGGGTAAATTTGAGAAATTAATGTTGTATTTTGACATCGGAGAGCGGCTTCTTCGATTAAGTCTTGTTGTCGCGTGAGTTAATTTGTCTCGTTTTAGCCGATGACAAAGTCGTGGTCGTTCCAGCATTCGTATCGCAGTATCGCGCGTAGGCGTTTCGCGTGCTTCATATAAACACGCTTTGTAATTTATACGCTCGTGTGTCGCATGTAGATGTAATGCAAAATTGAAGTGTACAATCGCGTGGCTGGATTACGGCCGACAGCTACCGACTAGTCAATTGTGAGATTGCGACATGCAGATATGTTAAAGAGGCACCGACAAAAACCGATGTAACTGTGTCAATCGCTCGCGGCTAAAAAAATCGATGTCAGAGCCGAAGAACGATCGCGATGCGACTTTGCCTTTCTATCGGTGTGTATTTACGTTACAATTTATAGACCAAATAAATTTATGAGATGTTTTATCTTGTTGGGAATAATTACAGGTGTAACTTAGCTTATGATAAACAAGCAAATCCGTTATTCGTTATGCGCAAGAGAAACATTAGTACTTTGTCGATATTAAAATTAATTTGTGTAGGTGTTGTTATGCCTGTCGAGGGATTATTACATGCATACGTATCGAATTGACGCGTAATTTTGTAAAACAAAATAAATATTATTTATAGCAAATAATTAACCTGTTAGACTGATTACAAAATAAACACTTCTCTCATATGTATGCGCAAGTCGTAAACCGTTATGCAATCATCTTTTTACTTTCATAATAACTCTCGTGATACCATTAAAGGCATAAACGCAAAGGCTAAAACACAAAGTATCGAGTGATATATTTTTCTATTGTAAGAATTAACAAAAAAAATGAGAGACCTAATGTATTAAGCATATAAATGTTGCATGGTTTTAATGAACTGACGTAAAATTCCATGGGCGTATCCAGGATTGTTCGGAGTGTTTTATCAATTCTATTGATACATAAGCAATAATTTTTTGCGTTAATAAATTACTTTTTTGAATATTTTAGAACTCAGATTATTTCCTCGTTCTTGATTTTAAATGAGAAAAATATTCAATCTTGTTAATCATAATTTTAATTTTACTTTAACTTTGTTTTTTAATTTCGTGGGGGGAGGATTTAAACTTTCCAAACTTTCCTCCTGAATACACTCATGTGAAATTCTATTATCGAACGTCAATTTCCTTCACGTCTCGGCGAGCTTTACTTTCCGTTTTAAGCATATCTAAGCCCTAGATTTCAAGGACCTTGACCGTGGGACTGCGGAAGTAAAACCAGACCTAAAAATATGCCGGCGCGGTAGGGTGGCCGACTTCCGTGACAAAATTAAAACAAGGGAGCTCACAGGTTCCCCTGTGCTGGTCGGCGGCCCGCGCGCCGCAGCTGCGGGTTTTATGTACCTCGACGAGTTAGGGGTACGGCGGAGGGACGACTCGGCGACGATGCGTGGTGGTCGAGGGGCAAGGAGGGCTACAGGTGCATCGCACTCGCACGCCCTCCTTTATTACGCGTTCCTTCGCTTCTTCTCTCCTCTCCCGGCCTCACCGCTCGTTCTCCCTCGCACTCTTTCCGCTTCTCTTCCTCCTCTTCATCCGACTTGGCGAACGCACGTCCTTCTTTCCCTCCTCCCTCTCACCCTCCGGTCCTCCTTGCGAGCCGCGTGTGCAGTCGTTAACATTTCACCGCTCCAGGTTGATCGCCGCGACTCTAACTTATTGTGTTGTTCTCTCGTTGCTCGCGTGCGCACATAGCGCGTTTGCTCGTTCGTCTTAACGAGAGAGAGAGAGAGAGAGAGAGAGAGAGAGAGAGAGAGAGAGAGAGAGAGAGAGAGAGAGAACGAG